AAAAAAAATCCGTTCCGTGGCCAACTTCCGGGAGCCATAAGAGTCAGCCTTATGGTAGCTACGTATAGAGCCTGCGGTGCCCGTTCGACCGCTAGTTTTCCTCTACTCGCGCCTGTTGCAGCTTTAACGCTACTGTTGACTGGGGCAACGGTGTCGACCTGCGCAGCTACTGGAGCACTCCTGTCGAGACATACCATACGCGACTGCTGATCCATCACGTACGGCTGCCTACCACGTAGTACTACGGCTGCCTTTTTCCGGTGCACCTCATCTGCTTCCTGATTAATTCCCACCAGAGGTTGAACACGCTTTTTTCGGTGCTCGGTTTCCCTCTTGTCCGACTTGGTACGTTTCCCAAGCGACTGTTTTCCCCCATCAGCCAAGAGATCTAGCTTACGCGGGCAACCCTATGGTCGCTGCACAATCTTGAACTCGTGCTTCTTCAAGGTCGCTTCGTGGTGGCAGTCTGCACGGCCGTGCGTGAATCTCCCTTTTGTGTGTTTACACAGGGGAAAATCACATTCCTCGTCAGGGTCGGTGCGTTGTTTCTTGCTAGCCGATTTTCCATCTCGACTGCCGATGCGGTCCCGCCAGGTCACCGTTTTGGTGCCTTTGTCACGATGCGCCGGGGTTTTCTTGGCTTTGTTGTCGCGCGACCGGTCTTTGGTGCTTTTGTTGTTGACGCTCGCTACTCGGTGACCTTGTTCGATGGCCTCCTCTAGGGCATTAACTCGCGCTGTCAGCAACTCGTTCTGGTTGCCGAGCTGGTTTCCGGTCGGTGCGTACATGGAAGATACAGCAAGAGAGGTATCGTTGGACGGAATCGGTGATTCTTGCAACCGATTAGCTTCGTGTTTTCGAGCTCGTCCTTTGGATTCCATGAATGTTTCGTTGGCATCTTCCCGATTCATCTCCGTGCGGATATGTGGGTGGAGGCCGTTCTCGAACGATGCGATCATAGCTTTGTCGAAGACATGTTCGTGAGGTGTTTTGTTTGCTGGAACTGTGCGTTCAGCTTCTGCTAGCAGACGTGAGTATGCTCTGGACACTCTAAGTGCGAACGCGTCAACAGATTCATCGGACTCAGCTTCCAGGGTCATGACA